AAAAAAAAAAAAAAAAAAAAAAAAAAAAAAAAACTCCCATTTCCCCCTAACCCCACAACAACTCAGCTTCAACTTACCACTAAACTGCTGTGGTTCACAAGAAAGGCTCTAAGAACCATCCTTACAACCAAATTCAACGAACATTTTTCAATCCTCATTTTACCCACTGTCTGAACACCATCTAACAAAGATAGCTAGTCTTTTCATCTTGGAATGTTTTGTTCCCCTATATTCTGTTCTCCCTCTTCTTCTCAATACCCCCCCAAAATTAATGCATTTGGATTTGGCTGAATTATAAAGGTGATAAGTGAAAATTTAATTCCTTCCTGGTGTTCCAAGGTAGGGCCTTTGGGTGTGATAAGAACATGAGGGCAGGGCTCCTATGATTGAGTTCTGGAATGTTATAAGGGAAAGGAGATGAGAACAGGTAGAAACTTAAAGACAGCTAAACTACTCAAGATCCTGCCCTGCACTATTTTGTAATGCCTTAGGACCTTCCACATAGCTAGAAATCATGAGTCAAATAAACCTGTATTCTCTTAAATTCACCCAGTCCCAGATATTTCTGTAAACAATGCAAAAATGGACTAAGACCCTCATTGATTTCTCTGTCTCTACTTGGCCCTTAAATATCAATATCCTCAGAGGTCTGTCCCATTCTCTTCTCACACCACCTGATCCCCTTGAGTAATCTCACCTACTCTCATGGCTTCAATTGCCATTTCACCAGTCTTCAGCGGTGACCTCACACTTAAGTTCCAGGACTACAAAGTAAAAGCCTAATACACACCCATCTTCAGTGTCATTTAGACACCTGTAATCCAACCTGTTTGAAGCTGAATTCACAGTCTTCCCTCCACAAACTTGTTTTTATTTTCTCCATTCATGATATAGTGCAAGTGCACATGTATGCAGAGAAGGAGAGATGAGCACCTTCCACAGGGTCTGGTCATTCTAGGATGCCCTTCCTCTAATCCTCCTGCTTGTTGGAACATGTGTCTGGTTGACCAGGCTGACAATTCAAACCATGGTCATTATGTAGGATCCGGCTTCCCTTGAGTAGCTCCTTGCTACTGTGCCATGGATCTAGCCCATCCCCCACAAATGTTTTTTAAATTATTAATTGTATTTTATTCATTATTCTTCAATTTGACCAGAGAGAGACAGAGAGAGAAAGAGAGAGAGAGAAAGAGGGAGAGAGAGGGAGAGCAAGAAAGAAAGTCCTAGGCCCAACAGATGGCGTAACGGCTATGTCACTGGACTCCCATGTAGTCGACTATGGTTCAAGTCCTGGACCTGGTGCCTTAAACTCATACTGGGCATGTGTGCATGCATGCTCAAGATCCCAAGAGGAGAAAAAAAGGAGAAGAGACTGCAGCATGGCCGTCCTCTCTGGGGGGGTGATTTTTTTTCACTTTCTGTCTCTGTGTCTCTCCCTGTCTTTCTGGCAAGCACACGCACCCTATAGCAAAAACTTCTCAAAAAAAAGAAAAAGAAACCCCTCAGATCTGGAACCTGAACCATGACTGGCCAAGAGGGAGTCCAGCACCCTAACTACCATGCCACCTGCCGGCCCCCATCCTCCACAAACTGTTATTCACATGTTTTCTGTTTTAAGAAATGCTGGATATACATGCCAGAAACCTTATCATCATCCTCAGTTCCTCCAAACTGACTTAATTAATACCAATCTCTAGTATTACTCATCTAATCTCTTTTCTTTTCTACAGCCAGGTGATCTTTTCTAAAATGAAATATGATCATGTCACTCCCTTGTTTGACATCACTCAACATCTTCCTATTCTCTTTAGGACAGATGTAAACTCAATGACAGAGTTTATAAGGTCCCAATTTACCTCTCCCAATCTGTCTCTTGACATCCCCAGATTTGTAAACCAGTTGTCCATGGGCTAAATTACACAGACTTCTTAGAACTTGCCATGCTTTCTCTTGCCTCAAAAATCCTGATAGTGGGACCAGCAGTTAGCATAATGGCTATGTCGCTGGACTCCCACATAGTCGACCGTGGTTCGAGTCCCGGACCCGGTGGCTTAAAACTCTTGCCAGGCGCGTGTGCATGCGTGCCCAAGATCCCGAGAGGAGAATGGAGGAGAAGGGATTGCGGCATGGCCATCTCCCCCTGGGGGGTGATTTCTCACTTTCTGTCTCTCTGTCTCTGTCTGTCTGGGGAGTGCACACGCCCTATAGCAAAAACCTCTCAAAAAAAAAAAAATCCTGATAGTTTCTCTGCCTATATCTTTCTCTGTCTTAAGCAACATTTCTGCTTTTCCAGCACGTGCACACATACACACACTTCAACAGTCGCTTCAGGTCTACCTCCAGGTGTTTTGGATCTTAGGAGTTTAGTTTAAGTATCCTAAATGCTTCCACAGCACTTTGTGTTTATACATGAGGATGCCCAACTACATCACAATAGTTTGTCTATTCTCCACCAATCTGAAAGCCCTTGAGAGCAGAGTCTACTTTTTTTTTTTAAGGTTTTTGCCAAAGGGCATGTGCGCTCGCTGGAGAGAGACAAAGAGAGAAAAGTGAGACATCAATCCTCCCCAGGAGGGATAGCCACACAGCATTCTCTTCTCCTCCATTTTCCTCTCAGGATTTTGGGCACTCATGCACACATGCCTGGCATGATTCTTAAGTTGCCAGATCCAGAACTTGAACTCTGGTCAGCCATGTGGGAGTCCAGCCCTTAACCACCACCTGCTAGCCCTACCTTTTTTATTATTAATAAAGTATTCATAGCACTTACAATGTAAAAGGAAATTCTCTACAAGCTTCACAAATAGTAACTTTATTTATTTAATTTTTTTTGGAGAGGTTTTTGCTATAGTGTGCGTGCACTCACCAGAAAGACAGAGACAGAGAGACAGAAAGCGAAAAATCACCCCTCAGGGGGGATGGCCACAACGCAATCCCTTCTCCTCCATTCTCCTCTCAGGTTCTTGGGCACACATTCACACGCGCCCAGCATGAATTTAAGACACCAGGTCCAGGACTCATACCGCAGTCAGCTACATGGGAGTTCAGCGACATCACCATTACACTAAAGTAGTAACTTTTTTATTCTTCATAACAACCTTATGAGGTAGGTCATAGGGAGGGACTATCATTATCCACATTTGTAGAAAATTTCTTCACGTCTGAGAAAATAGAATTGCATGGAGAAGTTAAACACCTCCCATGGTCACACAGCTAGTAGGTGGAAGAGCCTGAATTCAAACCCAGGCAGTCTGGCTTCAGAGTTCATGTTCTTAACTCCTATGACATTTATTAGTCACCGTATCTCTAAAACTCAGTGAAGCACCTAGCAAGCAGTAGGTAGTGAATATTTCTTCAATATTTAAATTAATCCTTACTACTCATACTCTGGGAATACTCATGACATGTTTTGATCCTGAAAAAGGATATCACAGAGGGCTAAAAAATCCCAAAAGAAGATCAATTTCACTTTCACATCTCTCACCCTTTAAAACTGCTAAACAGGTCCTCGGTGACCTTGTGCACCTGTAACACATCCTCCCGGATGAGGGTGATGTACAGTGAGCCCTGCAGACACAGCTTCCATAGCTGCTGGCATTGGCTGTTGGAGTTGAGGCACCCATGACAAAGAAGAAACCCAACTGTAAGGAGGCAATACAGCGCAGAGAAAGACTTTTAGAACTTGTTCTCCGTGTGACACACTGCTACATCCATTCCCACTTCATCCCTCAAAACTTACTGATAATCCAGCGCTCCATCACTTCCACAGACAGATACTCACAGGCCATCTGTGAGAAAAGAGGCAGGGATGACAAAACAATTATTTAATTTTGTCTCCCAAGAGAAAAAAGTCAAGCTAGAATCTAAGTATCAAAACCAACTTTTATTTTACCAGACTGGATTAGGGTACTTTGATAAATCAATAGCTGGGAAACCTATAATAATAGAGATGATGCCCTGGAAGTAGGGTGAAGAAAAAAGAACACGGTTAGGAAAAGGAGCTTGGACTGGAATTCAAGACAAACGAAAAGTTTAATATAATTTCTGTTCAATAGTTCAGTTACTTTTTTTAAAAAGCTTTTATTTATTTATTTATTTATTTATTTATTTATTTATTTATTTCCGCCATGAGCAAGAGAAATAGAGAGACTACACCCCCCCAATGGGTCTTAACACCATGATCCATCCCCAGCTTCAGTCAGCCCTCAATCATTGGCAAACACCTCCTCGCCATACTCAAAGAGGTCTTTAGAATTGAACCCAAAACCTTCTACAGAGCATCATATTTACCACTGCACCACTGTCCAGCCTCAGTTCAAATACTTTTCATAACAACAGAATAAGACTCAGAGCTTCTCATGATTTCTTCCTCCTTTGAGTTCTTTTACAACTTAAAATGTAAATCACTTATTTGGTACTTAATCTTGTAACATCCATTGTATTTTTATGACTACATGACATATCTTCCCTACTAGACAACAAATATTCTTCAAGGAAAAGACTTTGAGCCCATATTAGAAGAATAGAAATACTTATTACTTATCAACTCCTAAACTCAAGTTCCTACTGTTACATACAGGTGCCTAATGCTTCTGTTTCATCCAACCATTCACTCTATGACTGCTTACTAAATTTCCACCACTAGCAAGCATACAATAATCCTGGTCCAAACAAAATCTCTAACCCAAACACAATGTTTTAGCTACAAACAGTGCTCAACTTAGAGGCATATCCTATAGGAGGGCTAAAGCCTTCCTAGGGTTTTTATTTCCTGAAAGAAGCACCCTCTGAATAGAGGGCCTTGACAAAGAGAATGCTTCCACTAACAAAAAGAAAAGGGAACTCACTGTGTCTGAATTAGCAGGATTAATCATGGCTGGTGGAGTACTGATGAGACTTAGAAGTTGGGCACTGCGCCACTGTTCAGCCCCCTGGTTCCTTCGGACAAAGAGGAAGTGCAAAGAGAGGAGGGCTCCACTCACAGCCTGTGGGGAAAGCAAATGAATCCTAATGCCAATGATGGAGACAATATACTTCTGCTTGAAGAATTCTCCACTCTCTCAGGAAGCTTGCCTTTGTGTGAGGCCCAAACTCTTCTGTCAGCTTCTTCAGAGGGTGATCATACTCCAAGACCATCTGACCCAGACGAGCAAAACTAGGGTCACTGGAAGAAAGCAGAGGATAGAAGAGTCACAGACCTGCCTTAAATATGATATAAACTCTTATGAGTACATGTAGAATAAGGCGGTGGGGGGGGCATAGGCAGGCATTCCCCACCACTTCCCTAGAGATACGTATACTAAACCATAAACTGCATATATAGGCATCCCCACTCCAGGCTCAGGTGTACTAAGATAGGTTAGATAGAGCCATATGATTTTGAGCCAGGTCCGTGAAAATTTCTTATTTGTATTATGAGCACCTAAAATAGGGTTGGACATATGATAGTATTCTATAAGTCTGTGTTGATTAGTTGGAAATCAAGTAATATTAGTTGGAAATCAAGTAAACCTCAAATCGGTTTACTACCCAAAAGAACATATAAATATTCAAAGCTAATGGGTAAGGCATCCCAGGTATTCATGTAGACACATGGGCATATACATTATATATATATTGGATCATCAAAACGTTATATGTTTTTCTATGCAAAAATGCATCATAACTTTCCTGACAACCCAACAGAATGACGCCACAGTCTCCTCTTATTCCTCCATTCTTTATTTTTTTTGGCCCTAAACATTTATATTGGCATTAATGGAGGGGGAAAGCATTATCAATGACCTAAGATCAATTTCTATTTTGCTTCATGTATTATCATGTATCACTTATTTCTCACGGCTTTACCTTATTAATATTACTTCTACCAATACTAGAAAGAATTTTCTTTGCTTTTCCTAATAAACTGAAAAGCAAAGAGGAAGCCAGCCCAGGATTAAAAATTAACCAGAGTAGGGAACAGCAGATGGTGTAATGGTTACATCACTGGACTCCCACATGGCTGACTGTGGTTCATGTCCCAGATCCAGCAGCTTAAAACATGCTGGGCACATGAATGTGTGTACCCAAAATTCTGAGGGGACAATGGAGAAGAAGGGATTGCCGCATTGCTATCTCCCCAGGGAGTGATTTCTTGCTTTCTGTTTCTCTCTCTGTCTCTCCAGCAAGTGCACCTACCCTATAGCACAAAAAAAAAAAAAAAAAACCTCTCAAAAAAAATATGGTCTAGAATAATGCCTGTATTAAAAAACAGATTAGAGGGACCAGCACATGGCATAGTGGTTACGTCACTGGACTCCCACACATTCTACCGTAGTTCAAGTCCCAGATGCAGTGGCTTAAAACTCATCCCAGGGGCATGTGTGTGCCTGCCCAAGATCCTGAGAGGAGAATGGAAGAGAAGGGTTTGTGGCATGGCCATCCGCCCCCCAGGGGGTGATTTCTCACTTTCTGTCTCTCTGTCTCTCTCTCTCTCTCTCTCTCTCTCTCTCTCTGTGGTGAGCACACATACCGTATAGCAAAAAATCTCTCTATTAAAAAAAAAAAACTGATCAGAAAAACTCAAACTGGATAATCTACTAGCAGACATTCAAGAATTAACCACATATAAAAGTATACCTTATTTTGTCTCTGTCATCATGTAGATTATAAACTCCTATATGAGAAATCATGTCATCTATTTCCTTTATATATCCCACCTCTTATGTTATAGCACCAGGTATGAGATTCTCCATGTGGTATGCTTAACTCACCTGTGTCCATGCAGCATCTCATGAGCGCAGTTGTACATGCCAATGAGGATCCGTCGATCCTCAATTCGTGACAGAAGTAAAATAACTGAGGTATAAGTCACAATCAAGTCCAGGTAACTCCGGGTGAAGTCAAAGTTGAGACTCTACAAGGAAAATATATAGGGACCCAAAGACTGCATGGCCAAATTAACTGAGTCTTCCTATTTCCCTAACCACTTCAAACAGTGCCGATAGGTCTATTTAGAAGAAGAAACTGATAAGATCGAAAATTCAGAATAAGAAAATAGGAACAAGTCAAGGACTTACAAAAAAAAAAAGAGTTCAAGATCCAAGGAATCCAGGAAATAAGGTATATAAATAAGGTGAAATAATAAGATTTCTGTATTATTTCTGTACTAATTAAATCACATTGCTGATCTGCTTACCATATAAATACATCTCTTTTTTTTTAAGATTTTTTGCTATAGGGTGCATACACTCGCCACAGAGACAGAGAGAGACAGGGAGACAGAAAGCGAGAAATCACCCCCCAGGGGGGATGGCCACACCGCATTCCCTTCTCCTCCTCCATTCTCCTCTTGGGATCTTGGGCATGCACCCACCTGCCTGGCATGACTTTTAAGCCACCGGGTCCGAGACTCGAACCACAATCAACTATGTGGGAGTCCAGTGACATAATCATTACGCCATCTGCTGATCCCCATATAAATACACCTTAACTTCAGCACTTTCTACAAAAGAATTATCATCATGAGAAGGAAAAGATGAAATAGTCATTTCTTCCAGTCTGTCACACCCCACACTGTCCCAACCTTGACCTGGCTACCTCTTTGACTCTATGATAGAAGAAAATTGCAAAAATAAATAAATAAATAAAACTTACAATATCAAAATGGCACTGGCAGGCATCAATGGTATTGAGAAGTTCATATACATGATCCTGGGGGTGGAATTGAAGGTGAGAGTGAGTAAAGAATAAAGAGAAGTGACACTACTAGAATTCGAGAAGGTTTCTCCCCCTTAGAGGTCATACCAAGCCACCAAGCAACAGAAGGAAGGCATTGCTAAGGGGGAGGAAGTTCCTCCTCTATCAGGCTGCCCTGCCAAATGCCATGTTTTCAAATGCCGAGGTAAAAAGTCACTATTACATATGAACACTCTCCTTGGTCTGATCATCCCTGTGTCCTATTCTTTCACCATAAAAAGATTAGAAAATGCAGATTATCTGGCAGCAATTTCAAAAATGCCAAAAATCAAACCCATTTTTATTGACAACCCCGAAATAAATCTGTTCTTGGTTCCCAACTCCTGTTCAGAGAAGTTAACAAATGGGAATACTACTCAACCTCCCATGTGTTTCTATTTACAGACAACTGTATGTTAAGTACTTATGAGATGATTTCCATATACTTCATTTAACTCTCATTCTAATGTAATAGGGATTCTTTTTCTCTTCATATGTACTCTTCCCTAAATAAATATGCATTTTTTTTTGTGGACACATCCGTCTGTCCTCCCATAACAGTATTCATTGTCTATCCTGTCCCGAGACCCAGCTAAAGCAGTTTCACAACCTGGTATGTCCTGCATTTTCCTCCCTATCTATATAAATCTATTCAACAGAACGAGAGTGCTTATGTTCTTCCCTGTATCTAACCTTTGTTGAGGTCTATGCTGCCTAGATTTGCTAAGAATGCCTTTCTATAACACCAGCCTGCAACCCAATTCCCTTGAAGGTATAACTGAGATTTGCTTTCAGTCACTTACACAACCAATGTCACTAACAGGTCTTATACTCTAAAGACAAGAATCAGAAAAGGATGGAATTAACATTATTTGGCCTAGTACCTTACCATATGCTAAACACTGAGCTAGATGTTTTCCATTCATGATCTCAATTAATTATCACATATACCCCATACAATAAATATTTCTCCAGGGTCGGCAGGTGGTGTGGGGTTAAGGTGCTAGACTCCCACATGGACGACCACAGTTTGAATCTTGGACCTGGTGGCTTTCTCTCTCTCTCTCCTCTCATCAAACTAAACAATAATAATAACAAATAAAATTAAATAAATATTTTAAATATATGTATTATTTCTCCATTTTACAGGTAAGGAAGCTGGAATGCAAAGAGTGTCATTCTAATTCGTACAGCTTATAAGTGGTAAAGCCGAGATTTGAAACCAGGACTACCTGATTCAGTGCTGATCTACCTTCTAGTGCACCATACTTAAGAATTTCTATTTCTTTTCTCTCCAAAACAAGTCATACCAAATAACTGGGGTACAGAACCTTATAACCAGCAGAGGTCCTAAAATCTCCTTTGGACATCAACTTTTCCTAGTACAGCTTGTTTATAGGCTCCTCACCCTCTTTTCACTGCTTCCTGTTCCAGCCCTTTTCCAAGTCTAGCACCCTCGAACCTGACGCTTCTTAAGACTTCTGACCTCCATTTTGCTGTTTCTCTCATCACTTTGTAATCTATGAATACCCTGAATTAACTCCGTAAATTAAGCACAGGACACCCAAGGCAGAATCCCATACTCTTGTATCATCTGAAGAAATGCTATAATACCACCATAAACTTGGATTACTCAGAGGGCTAAATTTGCTATATTTCTTGAATACATAAATAATGTATGTTCATTATAGGAAAAAAATAGAAAATACAGGCAAGCTTAATGCTAAGCAAGATTTTTGAAACCACTTGTAATCCCACCAATCAGAAATTCCAGTCTTCCTATATGCATATTTATATATATAAATATACATTTTACAGCTTACTTTTTTTTTTCTGTAGAGAGATTTTTGCTATAGTGCTCATGCGCTCACCGGTGAGACAGAGACACAAAAAGTGAAAAATTATCCACCAGGAGGATGGCCACACTGCAATCCCTTCTCCTCCATTCTCCTTTCAGGATTTTGGACATGCATGCCCATGTACCCAGTGTGAGTTTTAAGCCACTGGGTCTGGGATTCAAACCATGGTTGACTACATGGCAGTCCAGTGACGTAACCATTACTGGTCCATCTGCTGGTCCTATACATCTTACATCTTAAGCTGTACTGTAATTGCTTTTACAGTAAACAATATGTGAAAAATATTTTCCCATGCCAATTAATATAAGTATAGATCATCTTTAACGGCTACATAATATTCATTTATAGGTATCTACTGTGAGCATTTAGCCAAACCTCTATTGGGTATGTAAATTATCAAGTTGTCACTGTCATAAATAATGCAACAGATTACATTCTTGCACACATACCTTTGCACTTACATCTTGATTGTTTCTTAAGGCAAATTTCTAGGAGTAGAGTTGCTATATTAACATCAACTTGCCTTTCAAAAGTATTGTATTAAATAATTTCCTATGTTTTTTATATGTTTACCAAAATAGTACATGCTTTTATTTAAAATTCAAGTTGGATATCATCACATAGTGTTACTATCAAAAACTATTAACAAGAAAAATCTAATTTGAGGGATATCCTGAAAAATAACTAGCCTGGACTCTTCAAAAAAAAAGGTCCATATCATAAAAGACAAGAAAAGGCTGGGAATTAACCCAAGATTAAAAACTAAAGAGACACAACTAAATTCAATGTATGATATGCCAAACAACTGGAGAAATGTGATTATGGTCGATGTATTAGCAGATGATAGTAGAGCAATGTTACATTTCCTAAGTAACATTGTATTAGGGTTATATAAGAAAATATTCTTGTTCTTAGCAGATGCATGCTAAAATATTTTGGGAAGGAAACGTCATGATGTGTCCAGCTGACTCAAATTGTTTGGAAAGAAAAAGAGAGAGGGATAAGCAACTATGGCAAAATAGTAGCAATTAGATCCAGGAGAACAGATTGAAAACAGAATTTTTCAGTAGGCTTATAATAAAATAGGGAGTGAAAATACTTGAAATTTTTGAAACTCAAATAATGCAAAAACAGATAGCTTGTTTAAAGAACTCCTCAACAACCACAAAAACCCGATTAAAATTTGGCAAAGAGGTGGCACAGCGGTAACATAATACTCTGTGATGCTATGGCCACATGAGAAGGTCCCAGATTTGTGTCCTGAGCCTCCCTGTACACACCAGGAAGTGCCCATGTCCATGATACTGGCTGGCTAGGCTGTTGACAGACAGTGGTTTTTAGACCCTATTGGGAGTACCTATGTCTATCTCTCAGAAGACATAAATAAACTTTAAAAAAGAAAGAAAGAAAGAACGAAAGAAAAATGGACAAAGGACTGAAAATACATTTCTTTAGAGAAAATATACAAATGTCCAACAAGCACATGAAAAGATACTCAGCATCACTCATTATTAGCTAACTGCAAATTAAAGGGGACAGACAGTGACACGACAGTAAGCTGCAATGCTCTTCAAGGCTGACCCACACAGGAGAGCTCCAAGTTTGTGTCCAGAGACCTCGCTGAGTATGCTGGGCACACAGGTGCCCATAATTTGGGGCTGGCTAAAACTGGGGGTGAATTGTGGCATCAAAACCCTCTTGGAGTGCCGTCTGTCCCTTTCTTTCTCCCTCTGTCTTTCTCTCACATGGAAGAAATAAATAAACTTTAAAAAACAAATGTAAATCAAAACTACAATAAGATAATATCTCACACCTATTAGGATTGCTACTATTAAAAAGAAACATTTTTTAGAGAGTTTTGTTTTGTTTTTGTTTTTGGGGTTTTTTTTTTTTTTTTGCTATAGGGCACATGCACATGCTAGAGAGTGAGAGAGAGAGAGACAGAGACCGAAAGCAAGAAATCACCCCCTGGGAGAATGGCCATGTCACAATCCCTTCTCCTCAATTCTTCTCTCGGGATCTTGGGCACGCATGCACACACAGCTGGCATGAATTTTAAATGGTCACCAGTTTTGGAATTTAAACCACGGTTGACTACGTAGGAGTCCAGTGACATAACCATTACACCATCTGATGGTCAAAAACAACAACAAAAAAAATGTTCTAAACTTTAAAAACAGTTGGGCTGGCAGGTGGTGTGATGGTTAGGGGTGTTGGACTTCCACGTGGCTGACTTCAGTTTGAGTCCTGGACCTAGCAGCTTGCTTTATCACTTTTTCTCTCTCTATCTCTCTCTCTACTCCTCTGGTCAAATTAAAATAAAAAATAAATAAAGATAAATAAAATAATTCCTTAAAAAAAAACAGTTGTCAGGACCAGATGGTTATGTCAGTGGACTCCCATGTAGTCAACCACAGTTCAAGTCCTGGACCTGGTGGCTTAAGCTCACACCAGGCGCATGTGTATGTGTGCCCATGATCCCAAGAGGAGAATGGAGGAGAAGGAATTACAGCATGGCCATCCCTCTGGGGGGGTGATGATTTCTCACTTTCTGTCTCTCTGTCTTTCTCTGTCATTTAGGTGAGCACACGCACCCTATAGCAAAAACCTCCAAAAGAAATAAAAATTAAAAATAGTTGTTGAGGGCCAAGCAGGTGGTGTGGTGGTTGGGGTGCTGGATTCCCACATGGCCAACAATGGTCAAGTCCGGGACCTGGTGACTTGCTTTCTTACTTTCCTTCTTTCTCTCTCGGGAGGACACACACACAAAGGCAAAATCCTCTCTAAACAAACAAATTAATTAATTAATTAAGTACACAAAAATGTAAAGGCTAGCCCATGGCTTAGTGATTAAGGAGCTAGATCCCAAATAACCAATGCACAGTTTGAATCCCAGACCCAAGGGCTTGAAAAACCCTCCAGGGACACGTGAATGCATGTACAACATCCCAAAAGGAAGGCAAAATGGAGGAGAAGGGATCATGACATGACCATTCCCATGGGAGTACTTTCTCACTTTCCCTCTCTCTTTCTGTCTCTCTCCAGCAAGCACATGTGCTCTCTGGCAAAAATTTTAAGTGTACATATATACAAATTTTTAAATAAAATAAATATGATATATCATACTATTCTGAAATTTGCTTTTGTTAAACAACGCAACTTAGATATCTTTCCATATTAGAACATCTCTCTTATTTTTTCAACTAAGACCAATATTAAGCTACATAAATGAAAATCACTTAAAAAAGAAAAAAGGAATAGTCTCTGAAAGATCACGCCTATTGTGGGGGCCTGAGCTAAGAAACAGCTTACCCGAAATTCCATGACATCTACAAAAGACTGGTAGTAGTTAGTGAGGAATCTAATTATCTCAGCTTTCTCACGATGTACTGGTCCTAAATGTTGCTGAAAGACAAAACAAAACAAAATTAAAAACACAAAATAAGAAGCCTATTGATCAAAAAGTTATTGGGAAAATGTGTATTATAAGAAAACTATGCATGAATTTCAAAATTATTTTCTACTAAAATTAAGTACTTTACATTCCTCTATGATCTTGAAGTTCTCTTATTTATGTGTGTGAAAACATTTTTCTAACTATCTTGAAAGATTAAAATAAAAATAAAAATAAATGAGCTAAAAAAAAAAAAGACTATTGTTCCAAGTACAATAACTCAAGAATGGGATTATGCCTAGAACATTCTTAAAGAGGATCTAAATACACTGACTAAAGAAGTTGGAAATTCTCCAGTGTTATGAAGGTCTTTAAATAAAAGAGACTCTTAGCTAGGTAAGATGGTTGCATATGACCCTGACTAGATACAGAAAACTAAATGAGAGAAAATTTCAAGATCTGTTTGAGCTGAATAGGTTTACTATTTATATATAAAAGTCAAAAGAGTAGAATGAGATAATGCTATGGGTAAGATGGGTGAGAAATCATGATTAACATTTTCTAAGGGAGAATTAGGGGATATCCTACTAGATAAATAATTATAAGACAAGTAGCAAGGAAACACTGAGTGGGAAACAGGAACAATAATAAAATATTTGCACCCTGCTGAGCTTACAGAGTTCTCTACAAGAACAAAGTGTTCTCATAAATTTTGCATTGGAGGAAAGGGCAATGCTTTGCTTCAATTTACCCTGGGAGAATCCCATTTTATCTCTAAAGCTCTATAACAACCTGAAACCCTGTGGTAAAGCCTAGAAAACCTAAAAGAAGTCTATTTCATCCCCCATGAAGTTTAAAGAGAGACAATCAAAAGAGGAGATTCTGAGTCATTTAAACATACAAGGGAACTTCAAACAGTTCATGTAAAAATGAAATTAAAATATGAATTTATTTTGGTGCAAAAAAATTGAAATCCATGCATAGTTTTTTCAATAATATAAATTTCCCATAAACTTTTCGAAGACAAAAACACAGTAATTCCAGAGAAAGAAGAGATGAGGGATCAAGTTCTCACCGTGCTGTTTCGAACATCTATGTTGGGAAATTTCTTGTTGATGTACTTGAGAGATGATTCCATGGACTTTTCCAGTAAGAAAGGTGGCTTGGATTTGGGGTCTGAACAAGTCTGTATAGATAAATCACACTACATTTCAAATTTTTCTGTTGACCCTCTTCCTGCATCATTCACTCTCACAATCTTTCTTAGGAAAAGACAATCTGGGAATTAGTTATAAATGGACAAGAGTAAATCAGGAATAAGTTCTAGTACATTAAACCAACTACCTAAGAGCTAAGTAATAACCTGGGAATCTTATCTTGCTGGGTAAAACTTACTGTCTGCTTGGCCCCAGCACAAAGAGGAAGCTGTTTCCCCGCCCCTTGACTGAAGCAGGAAGGAGTAAGAAAAGCAGCTCCTCAGGAATCAGACTTGTGTAAGACAGTGTCATGATTATGTCCTTTATATAAGTATCTTATCACAACAGGCATTTATAGGAGATCTGAGTCTAGAGAAACCGTGTTCCTGATGATTTGTTTTATCATAAAATGCATAAGAGTTCCCTTTTCCAAGTCCCCTATTTTCTCTTCCAGTTACTCCCCATAAACACCCTCTTCTCTTGTTACTTCCTATGGCTTGCCCGGCCTCTAGCTCACCAGTTGCCACCAATTCCTCCCAATTTCATGGTTCCTGTGCTAAACACACACACTACAAGAATTTCCCCAAATTAAGTACCTCTGAAGACGCCTACCCTTTTTTATCTAAATGTCTACTTCTTTTCATTTTGGGGAACTATTTCCGTGGAAACATTTTTGCCAGAGACCCAATGTCAGATCACTTCAAGACATGAGGAATCAGCAATAAATAATAAGACACAGAATTCTAGATCCCAGAACTTTATCACTCAGAACACCTTATTCTCTTCTCAGCCCAACTCCCTATCTCCATCCCCAGTAGAAACCAGATGCTCTCACTGGGGTGAAAAATCATACCTAGGAAGGGAAAGCCCTGAAAAGAGGCTTCCACTTCTGCCTCTCCCAACTGGCTGGCCTGTATAAGCCGAGTGACTCAAGGACAAAGCAGTGGAAAAGAGGAGGCAGTCTAACTGCAGAACCTGCCGGCTTCGGGGTTCCCACCCTACTATTGCTCGCGTAATTGGTACTGGCGCCATTCCTCCTGCTTACCTTCTTGATGTTGTACATACGGATGAGAACCCCCTGACCTCGATCATTCAGGATAGTGAGCTTCTCTGCTAATTTATGCTGGTAAGCAGAGGTCAAAGACATGATGGCCACGGAGAGAGAGGAGCACCAGGGCAGCAATGACTAACCTCCCCAAACACTTTCAGCTTGTGGGGGTGACACCCTGTGAGCGGAGGGACTCAGCCTGGTTGGTGCGTTGGTCTTCCTGTTGCCGCTGCAATTGGCTTATGGGTAAAAGCAGTCATTATGGTTCACAGGCTCTCGGTGCCTTGTTGTGCTTCCTCTTACACACTCAGCAGTGGAGACTTCCTCTTTCTGGCTGTGTAGCACTTTTGGTAAGGCTGTGAAGTGGGTGGAGGCAGGGAGGGACAGGCTCTCAAGCCTCTTCACAGCCTAGCACTAACTTTTTTGACTTTACTCATCCACAAGTGTCCTATATAAACCTCTACACCAGACAAAAAAGTGTCTGCCATCCCATCCTCATACAATTCTACGCTTTCTTTCATTTATATCCCCATCAAGAATACCTGTTATTACCTATTGAACCTTAGGCCCTATCATCTTTTAGGATTCAGATCAAATTCCATGTGCTCCAAACTACCCCATCCAATGACAAATACTGTTATGTTGTAAAATATAGATAAACACATGGATATAGAACTTTTTTTAAAAACTTTTTTACCATAGGGAGCATGCACTCACTGGGGAGAGACAGAGACACAAAGAGGGAAAGGGAGAAATCATGCCTTAGGGGAGATGGCCATGCTGCAATCCCTTCTCTATTCTCTCAGGATTTTGGACAGTCACGCACATGTGCCCAGTATGAGTTTCAAGCCTCCAGGTCCAGGGCTCTAGAGCCTTAACCACTACACTACCTGCTGGTCCCCCTAATAACTTTACAGCCCTCACAATGCTCTAATACACTTATTCTCAAAGTGGGATTCAGTAGTATCAGTATCACCTGGAAACGTTTTACACGTGCTGATTCTCAGACACCCTCCCAGATCTACTTAATCTAAAATTCTGGGGCAGGTCCCAGCACTCTGTGGTTTAATAAGCCCTCCAGGTGAATCCAATGTATCTTCACATTTAAAACCACTGTGTGGGACTGACAGGTGGCGCGGGGGTTGAGGTGCTGGGCTCCCACATGACTGACCACGGTTCAAGTCCCAGACCTAAAGGCTTGCTTTCTCACTTTCTCTGTCTCTCTTTGGTCAAATTTAAAATAATCATAATAATAACAAGTAAAATAAAATGAACATGTCTTAAAATAAATAAATTATTTTTTAAATAAATTTAAAAAATTAAAAATCACTGCTCTAGTGAGACCAGCAAATGGTATAGCAGTTATGTTGCTGAACTCCCACATGGCCAACTGCGGTTCAAGTCCCAGACCCAGTGACTTCAAACTCATGCCAGGAATGTGTGTGTGCATACCTAAAATCCCAAGAGGAGAATGGAGGAGCATGGACATCACCCCTGGAAGAGAGGTAATTTCTTGCTTTCTGTCTCTCTTTCTCTCCAGAGAGTGCATGTGGTGCCCTATACCAAAAATCGTAAAAAAAAAAAAAAAAAAAAAAAGAAAAGAAAAAAGAAGAAGAAGAAGAAGAAAGAAAACTACTGCTTGAGTGCAAATAGTACTTAAGGTGCTTGGGAAACTGAGATCAAGCCCTCCTCTGAGGTTAAGGTTTGGTAGAGCTGTGGTGGGGCCTAAAAGTCTGCATTTGTAAGCACCCTAGGAGCTTTTGGTGCAGATGTTCCAGGGGACTCACGGTGAGAAACGCTGACCTAGAACATCACCTCTTGTATATAGCAGCTACTCAATAAATATGCTTTATTTGTTGAATTATTATGACTAAATTGGGAAATAAGCCTCATGAAGAAGAATCAAATTAGTCAAGATGAACAAGAGGAAATTATTAATAGCCATGGGGCTGGCAGGTAGCATGGTGGTTAAAGGCACTGGAGTCCCGCATGGCCAACTATGGTTCAAGTCCCAGACCTAGTGGCTTGCTTTCTCGCTTTCCCTTTCTCTCTGTGTCTCTGTCTGGTCAAATTAAAAAATAATAAAAAATTGAATTAAATAAATAAATAATTCTTTTAAAAATTTTAAAAAATATTAGCCTTTAAATATTACAGAATGGAATGAATTTTAACACTGAAATATTTTTGTTAAAATTATTTCCTACCAGAACTAATCCCCTACCTCAAGAAAACTTGCAACTCATTTCAAGTTTCCTTCAAGGAGCAAAGCAAAAACTCCTAGAAAAATTCTAAATTAGATCATTGTTTTCATATCTACTTCCAATCCAATACATTTTCTCTGCTTTTCAATCATTCCCATTTCCTATGTCCACATTGTCCCTTAAATCCTGGGGTGGGACACTGATCAGCATTACCATTTTAAAGAACTTAACACATCTGCTCCCAAGAGAATGTTTTTGTTTTTGTTTTTTTAAGAAAAGCAAGATGACAATGCTTAACAAATTAAATTTCAAGCATCTCTAAGGAAGACAATTTTGGGAAAATAGAATTTGCCTTCCAGTTTGGCTTGTGTTCCTGAAAGGTACCTGAGCATAAATCCCTGGATTTAATCACCAAAATGCCCTCAGGAAATCTGACATTTAACAGTCTAGCTCTGTGCCCTTTGTCTATGCCCTAGGCATGACGCAAAGCAGAATTGAAATGGGCTATTCTAAGGTACTTTTCTATCCCTACTGCTTATGCCAGTCAGCCTTGATCTTTCTCCCGCCTATCAAACTAAACTGCCTCCACTTCACAAAAATCTCAGCTGTAGCTGTTGCCTGGAAACTTGGCAGTCCTGGAAATGAATGTCTGCTAGAATAGCTAAAGACAGCTATAGGGGAAAGTAGGCCTCCTATTGGCAGTAAACTGCAGCAGATTTGATATGGTATATTCTTAGTTCACTTCTAGAAGTCTTCATGTGTTAATTAATACCAACAACTTTAGAGACTTCCAACTGACATTTTTAGGTAAATTATAAAGTAGCCTGGATTTGAATACTGTCTTGTTCATTCTTATGATTCCCTTTCCCTAAAAGTGGGTATGCTGACCTATCTGACAATTAGCATTCTTCCCTGGCAAAAAGCTTTACTTAGCTAAGTTGGAGAAAGAATGGAAGGGTACCATGCTGAATAATAAAAGAACTAGCTACCCCAGCCTTGCCTTCTCCAGCATTTGAGCTTATAGCATTAGACTTCATCTAGCCCCAGGACTGCGAGTTTTCTAATTATCTCAGCCTCTTTAATACTGTTTGGAAGCCAAGCACTCTATTTAAACAAACTACAAGATTAAAAATATTAATTTTGAATCTCCCGAGGGTGGAAACAGTGAATTTTCCCTATTACCTAACGACAAGGCCGTTACTGCTTTAGTTATTCAAAACTTTCATACATGGATAAGATTGAGAGACCCATATCTTACACACCACATTTCCCATGTCGAGAGTAGTGACCTTAAATGTAAATCCTTTTTTGGCCAACCCATGGCTCCTGCTATTTAGGGTTGCCTCATGGAGCCATAAATCTTAGAAAGGTGTCCTTATGACCCAAACCACAGGATTCCAGCCAGCAGATTATATGCAGAAAAGTAAGTTTTCCTGATAATTACTGTAAATCAGTAGAGAGAGTAAATAAGCTCCGAACGTTAAAAGTTAAGCTTTGTCTTTATAGGCTTTTTTTTTTTTTTTTTTTTTTGAGAGATTTTTACTGTAGGGTGCATGTGCTCATCGGAGAGACAGAAAGCAAGAAATCACACCCCCTGCCCAAAATCTTGAAAAGAGAATGGAGGAGAAGGGATTGTGGTGTGGCCATCCCCCCTGGGAAGTGATTTCTCACTTTGTCTGTCTTTCTAGTGAGTGCGTGCTCCCTACAGCAAAAATCACTTAGAAAAAATAATAATAAAATAGTATTGCTGTTATAAACTGAAACTTGTCATCTGAAAGGATGAGGTTCATCCTCTCAAGTGATATTCTTTGAGATACAGCATATTATAATAGAGACCTCACTAGCTTTCCGTAGCTCTAGGTTTACCTATATGCTGTAGCCTTAAGGGAAGTTACTTCTCAAACGTATTTTCCTTGTCTATAAAAAGGAACTTCTGAATCATCCTCACAAGGTTGATTAATATTAAATAAAGATGGGGCAGAAGGTGGCATGGTGGTTAAGGGAGCTGGACTCCCACATGGCCGACCGCGGTTTGAGTCCTGGACCTAGCGGCTTGCTCTCTCACTTTCTCTCTCTCTCTCTCTCTCTCTGTCTCTGTCTCTCTCTGGTGAGCATGCATGCCCTGTAGAAAATTTTTAAATAATAATGATATATAAATAATTCTTTAAAAAAATAAATCTTTCAAAACTGATACTACCCAGGCCAGCAGGTGGCATGCTAGTTAAGGTGCTGGACTCCCACATGGCCAACCATAGTTCAAGTCTTGGACCTGATGACTTGCTTTCTCACTTTCCCTCTCTCACTCTCTTTCGCTCCCTCTCTCTGTGTCTCTCTCTCTGGTAAGTATACATGCCCTAGAGCAAGTTTCAAAATAATAATAATAATAAATAAAATTAAATAATTATGAAAAAACTACAGTACCAAAGGCCAGCAGGTGGCATAATGGTTAAGGTGCTGGACTCCCACATGAACAACCACAGTTCAAATTCCAGACCTGGTAACTTGGAAATCACATCAGGCGTGTGTGCATGTGTGCCCAAAATCTCAAGAGGAGAATGAAGGGATTGTGGTGTGGCCATCCTCCCTGAGGGGTGACTGCTCACGTTCCCTCTCACTGACTCTCCCCAGGGCAGCATATGTGCTCTATGGCAAAAACAAACGCAATGGCAACAAAAATGATACTGAGTCAGCAGGTGAAGTGCTGGTTAAGGCACTAGACTCTCACATGACCAGCTGAAGTTCAAGTCCCAGACCTGGTGGCTTGCTTTCTCATTTTTCTTCTCTCTCTTACTCTGTCTCTCTCTGGTGAGCATGTATGCTCCATAACAAATTTTTTAAAATAATAAGATTAAATAAATAATTCTTTTTTTAAAAAAATTCTACCTCAAACTTCTCTTTCTCCTTACAAGTCAGAAAACCTGATGGAGAAGTTGTCGATTAAATAGCCAATAGACACAGGGTCAGCAGGTGGTGTGGGGGTTAAGGTGGGGGGCTCC